TCTCTTAAATGCTCACTTGTGAGAGGACGAAAGATCCACCAATTAAAAAGCTCGGAATAATTCGAAAGTTAAAGGCTAAAGGAAGGGACCGTATAAGTTAAGATATTGATCAATAATTTTCGACTAAAAAGAACGTGAAAGAGTTTAGGATAGCTGCTAAACCTTTCTTAATGGAAGTTCCAAAATCTTAATAGGTTTTGTATAGCTACAAATTTTTTAACTCATACTAATTTTTCTAGGCGATCATATTTTTTAAGAAAGTGGGTGTCACTAATCCATACAGAAAAAGCAAGATGTCTTTTCGAAAGCAAAACTAATTAAACCAACAGGTACTGAAGCAGAGTTTTCAGCAGAAAATGACTAAAATTATAATGACCTCTCGATATTCCTATAGAAACCTTTTATACAAATAAAAAACGAAAGACGATTTTTTTATCATATCATTCCTGTTTATTTTGCTTCAATGAACATATTCGTGATAAAGACAATTGACTTTTCTTCTTTAATTTAAACTGACATTCAATTTACGTTACCTAAAAAAGAGACAGAAGAAAGTAGAAAATACACAAAATCATTAATTTTGTCGAAGAATATAAATAACACAGACGACACTGACAAGAATTAATTTCTATGAATTGTCAATAACAGGTATATTGTATTATGTTTTTCGAGCTTCACTGTTGAATTTAAGATCTCTTGCCTTTACTCCTCGCCTGTTCAGTCCATCATTTTCACATATTGCACTGTATTAGAGAAAACATTTTGTGGAACTTTGACAAAAATCGCTGAAAAGGAAGTTGACTTGTTTATCGTATTGTATATTCACAGAAATGAAAAAAGAAAAGTGAGAAACGATAGAGAGTAAACAAGAGATATTTCTCTAAATAAAAGCAGAGAACAAAAAAGAACGATATGATGTTGATATATGAGATATACGATAGATATTGCTTCTAAGTTTGAAATTTTTTTTTTGATCAAAATGTTCACTGCACTCACTATGAAATTACTCTATTATATCCTGTCAACTTGACAGATTAAAATAAAACCAACTAGAATGCGAATGTACCCCTCCCGTTTTCTATGTTAGTTTGAAGTACACAAGATATACTATACGTCGAGCCATTTTTTAGCAAAGGGTACAGTCTACTTTATGAGATACAAGGCTGCCAATAACGGAGCTGAATAAGAGACAAAGATGTACTTTTTCTGCCAAAAGCGGAATCATTTCTTAAAAGCGGTTCTTGACTAACATGACTGTCCGGCTTTATCTTCGGGTCATGGTAGTCTTAATTCTGCATCGTTTATGTTTTAAGAGTTATGTAAAAGTAATATAATTGAGCTAATCAGAGGTATTTTTAAACGCATCACATATTGTTACATAAAGGAGGCCAATTTTTTGAAATTCATCAGTTATTATCAATAATGATAAATGATCAATATTTGTTATTTATCATTTCTTACGTCTCATATATTTTTCTTATATATCTGTATACTGGGCTCCTCCACTTAAAGCTCTGAGGGATTCTAGAGAAGACCTGATAACTCCGTTTTACTCTAAAGCAAAAGATGATCTAAATAGAAGTGTATTTGTCGTTGAATCGTGTTTCTTATATATTTAATTTACTGCAAAATAAAATGGTGAATAACATTGACCATTTAATCGTTTAAAAATAACAATTAATCGCAATTAACTGGCGATTTTTAAAAGAAAGAAAAATCATCAGAATCGTCAGTTAATCGCCATTAGTTTGCGACTTTTCAAGAATCGCGTTTAATTGTTAAAAATGCCGCGATTTCGTCGACATGGGAGGATACAGGTTGCGAAAAAAACAGGTTACTGACCAGGAAATCAGATATGGGTCTTTAATTCTTAGCCTGTTCGTGAGAAAGTCAGTATACTGGTCAGGAAACCAGTGACCGATTCTTATCACAATCCGGTGATCTGATCTTTCACTAGAGGTGGCATTAGCAAATCTGTTCTAAGTGCTGCTGATCACAAGAAAACACATAGTCAAACGTTAGCCTTATTACCTCATTAATGATTAAAAACAGCTTTAGATCCAAAACCAGGGTGCAAGTAGACAAAAAATGTCGGTGACGTGGGCGACCGCAAAATATAAAACTACGGCAGCGCATAAAAGATAATGTTCAAAAATGCGAACCGTAAAATGATAATGAATGATCTCTACACGCTACTTTACTGGTCAAAATATTCTTTTTCAACGTGATCCAATGTAAAGCCAAGAAGTGACATAATCAAACGTGTAAATCTGGAAATACGAACCAGCCATGTATAGAAATAAAAACCAGGAGGATCGGAGACACTTGACGAAGCAGGTAACTCATGAGATACGTAATATAGAGTTCGGGCATATTAAATGAGTAAAATGATGTACGAATACAAGATCTGATAAAGTGTAAAATGAAAATAGATCGTATTCCCCGAAATTATTTCTGTCAATTAACAAGCGGAATCATTTCTTAAGAGCGGTTCTTGACTAGCATGACTTTCCGGCTTTATCTTCGCGTCATGGTGGTCTTAATTCTGCATCGTTTACGTTTTAAGAGTTATGTAAAAGTAATATAATTGAGCTAATCAGAGGTATTTTTAAACGCATCACATATTGTTACATTTAGCCACAGATCAAAGTGAGTAGGATAGAGAGCAGCATTGTCCAGTGTATTTGTGTTAACGCCTCTATAGATTTGTATCTTGGTAAACCCTCTATTTCAACGTTTTTGGCATCATTCCAGCCAAGAATAGCTCTAAACATTTGATGATTTAATGCTTCATGCTCCTGTTGTTTACTTATTGCAAGAATAGGGTCCACTTTAAATAGCGATTGAAAATGCGGACGAATGAACTCAAAAAATAGGCGATACGCTACATGCTCGCTTAACATACGACTAGCAGATAGACATTTAAGCGGAGAGACGTTTGTATGGTTTTCTCTTAATGGAATCAAGATGGGAAGAAAACGACAATTTCTCAATCAAAGATAGTGCCTAAACACTTAAATTTGGAAACATGTTCCACGATATGATTATCACAAACAACAACAGGGATTAAAGGAGAGACCTGACTATGGAAGAGGATCTAAAAATCTTTTTGAACATTTTTAGGTTGCTTCCATGCAATAGAAGACGAAAGAAGACTTTCAAGTACATGAGTAATCTGTTCACTAACATTCACAATAAACACTTTAGAGGACCCATGTACTGATGAAGAGTCAACCGCAGTTAAGTCATCCGCAAAAGGATGCTTCCAGTGAAGATTAGAAATTGAGCAAATCAAGGTAAAATACGATGAACAATACCGGAGCTATACATTATCCTTGGGGACACTTTTGAAAAGAGAAAAAATAGCAGATTTAAAATCCTTAATTTCAATATAGATAATCGACTATTGCGAACCGTAAAATGATAATGAATGATCTCTACACGCTACTTTACTGGTCAAAATATTCTTTCTCAGCGTGATCCAATGTAAAGCCAAGAAGTGACATAATCAAACGTGTAAATCTGGAAATACGAACCAGCCATGTATAGAAATAAATACCAGGAGGATCGGAGACACTTGACGAAGTAGGTAACTCATAAGATACGTAGTATAGAGTGCTCACTATGACCCTATCATACCGTAGGAACTTCGCGAATTAAAATTATTTTAATTCCCGATGTTGGTAGAATAAGGACTAAATTGATAGTGAGAAAACACGGTAGTTCTACTGCTCTTACACTCTAAGATCTCTCTGTTAGATGAAGAACTCCTCTCAGAACTGGAATAAATGATGTCTGAATAAAAATAACCTCTCTATGAAAATAGTACCTTTTCTAAGTCATGCCATTATATGCAATATATAATAAATAAAGTAGAATGAAGCAGTGCGACATCAGAGAAAAAGAAACCTAAGACCAACACTTTCATTTTTAAAGTATAGTATCTCGATATTTTGCAGATAAATCGTGAGTATTGGGTAATTCATGCCTCGAACGGTGTATAAATTTATCAGTAATATGCCGTAGGTTTATCGCACCACTTATTGGTCTAGTCGGAATTATTGCGGATATCTTCATGGCCCATTTAGAAGAGTCATTACATGATCGGTTAAAGAAGACCACTCAATAGAAAACTACTACATATCATCAGTTGTTATTCTAAGGACAAATCGGAACTTATCCTTTGCACGGACGACACGTTTTTGCAGATCAAAGCAGATCACCCGAGTAGAAATTAGACAATAGTTCATGATGGGAACAAAGTCCGACAACAATTACTCTTGAACAACCTAAAATAACAGAAGAAGTAGTAGAAATACTTTAAACGTCGATGACAGATATGCTGATCGAGAACGAAGCACAACTGAAAAGCGTTATCATTATTTACAGTGTGTTATCAATATTTATTTCGATTGACTCAGTTGTTGTTACTCATTCTATTTAAATAGATCGCTTGCAATTGAACTGACAATACTGATTACGGATAATAGAATAAGGAAGTAGAGAAGCAAACTCAACATAAATTTTAGCAAATTCTATTGTGTCATTTCCCTTGTCATCATCGACGGACAGTAAAAAATTGATTGAAAAACTAAATGAAAAATTGTATTCACCACTACATAATTGTGTTCTGAATCAAAATACAGTTACAAACAGTTTATAAAAAGATATCATTATGGCGAGATTCTTGAAGTAATAAATACAGATTTCTTTACTAAACATCCAGGTGTACTTCTCCATAAGGGTCTTTAGCGCCACCACTAAAAAAATAGTCAAGTCATCGAATTACCAGAACGACAAATTGCGCCAGGAAAGTTTTTTAGCCGAATGTCAATGTGCTCAATAAAATAAAATTTAGTCAGGCAATATACACGAAAATGCAACAAATGTGAAAATCTTGGAGTGTTCTGTTAGTAAGATATACTTAGTTGGTAAATATAATCGAACTTTATCTTCTAAGTGAAATCAATATCTATATAGTGCGTCCGTTCATCTAAGACTTATACACTTCGAACTCCACCTGATGTCACAGGCGGTGGTGTTCCATCAGATGTCACAGCCGGTGATGTTCCATCAGATGTCACAGCCGGTGATGTTCCATCAGATGTCACTGCTGGTGGTGTTTCACCTGGACAAGGGTTGACAAACAAGTTTGGACTCGGAGCACCAGGAGCAATATTAAACAGACGTGTAGTGGTAAATGTGCCCCGAACAGGTGATGAGAAATCGATCCTACAACAAAATATGATAGAAATCTCACTGCAGATCGGCTTTCGCAAAATTCAAATTCGTTCTGATTGAATATCTCTCACCTCACTAATGTCTGGTTTGCATCAAGATAGACTGTGGCACTTGTTGTCGCTCCGAATAGAACAGCCCATGCTTCCAATGCTGGCTGATCGGCATAAAAGAGATTGTCGGTAATGAGGCCTACGAATGTGGCACCATACGCTTGAAGAATGTTCGGTGGAAATAGAGGATAGGCGGGTGTGACATTATAATACGTACAGGCACCTTGCGTAGCTGTTGTTGGCGCAAATGTGTAGCTAAAGGTTGAGATGCATGAAAAGTCTTGCAATCTGTTGGTTTCCTAAGCAATTCAACAACAATCTCATTTTCCAAACCATCTGCTCATCAGAACCTTTTGAATTCTTTCGCGTTCCCTCATAATTTCACCTTATTTAATTGCTACTGTTGCACCATCACAACAGTCTCGTTCGGTATTAGATGACCTTCTCCGAACGAGCTTGACTAAGATGGACGCAGTCTTCAAACGACAGTTGCTGATCGTCACGAAGAGCAACCAGCCGAACCGTTTGACGGAAGTATACAAAATAACAGAAAACTACATCGCTTTGGAGAGTTATTCGAGAGGTATAAATGTAAGTTTCTGTGGGTACACAATTTTAGTGCAATATTCTTAAGGAACTCAATTACAAACATTAATAAGATAATCTGTTACTGTAAAAGTACGGTATTTCTCTTTGCTGTAGATTATTTTATACTTTCAAACATCGCATGGCCTTTCGAAGAAGTTGATATTTTCGAACAAAGGTTTGAAAAAAATACTTTTTCAGTTCGATACTGAATAGTTATCATTTTGTTGGTCATAATCCCGGTCGAATGCAGTCTTCTCAGTCTCCACTTTCAACCTGTTTAAGAACTTCACACAAACGCTTCGTTTTGGTTATTGGAGCGTTGGGCAGAAGCTTTTGGATCTGTCAGTTAGTAGGCAAAATCGAGAGGAAGTCAGACTTCTCTTTGGCACTGCAGATTGGTCGTAGCTTACATGTAGTTTGGAATTGTGCCATCACTATTTGCGCTTGCATAGTCGAAAAGTGAGCTTGCAATCACACCCTCATATGTCAAGTCCATTCGAAGACGTCCAATAGTGGGGTTAGCGTAGATCATTCCACTGGCAATGTGTGAAATACCTGTAGCATCCCATTTGTGTTGAATAAATGAAGCTTTGTATGCAGCAATAATCGAGATAGGCGGATCCGGCGCTCGGAAATCAGCAGCAAAGAGGCGTTGCGATGGAGTTGCTGCGTGAGACAGATAAACGACAAGCAACAGACACCGGATGGTAGACATAACGAGTGCCGACATGATATTGAATTGTATTCACTGATTGACTTATCAGTGAGAAATTGCCGAGTGATTTCGAAACAAAGAAGAATGAATACATAGGCACAAGGTGACGTGATGTAGGTGAGTCAATATTTGGGTGGGATCTATTCGCAATATGACTTGAGCGTTTCAGTTCCACAGCATTCTTGCGGTTCATCAAGTGTCTCTGTGCTCACGTGTATTTATGAACGACGCCTGATATATTTCGATGATTTCTTTTTCATTCTGTCAACATTTAGGTGCACAAGGAGAGAACAACGTATTAAATGCATCATCGTTGTACGTACACAGAAATCGAATTAGAAAAGATTATACGTGGAGCAAAAAACATGTCCTTTTCCATCTTTTGTCGTGAAACAGAAACCCTACTTTGTAAGAGCAGAGGAGCAAACAGTCTTGGTCACAGCTGCGTTCTCTCCTTGCGCAGCTCAACTCTGCTGATGATATATGACAAGGTTAAGTTACAC